AACCCTGAAAACTATACAATAAATGATTTCAAAAAAAAAAAGGAAAGAAAAGAAAAGAAGGGGGCCGGGGAAATGGCTCAGTAGAATAAGCACTTCCCTGGCAAGTGCAAAGGCCTGAGTTCAATCCCTGGTTCCACCAAAAAAAAAAAAAAAAAAAGAAAAGAAAAATAGGGTAACGTTTTCTCTGAAGGGAAGTTACAGCTCCCAGCGCATCTCAGACTGTTCTTGATCTCTGTTCTTGATCTAGAGTGAGCAAGCTTATGACCTGAGTCCTTTGGGGCCTGCTGGTGATAGTCCAAAGGGACGAGCTCCTAAAGGGGCAAGTGGGCCCAGATTTCAGAGTGCCCAGTGGTCTTGCAGCCCCCAGTCTCATCCCTGGGTTGAGTGGAAAAGGTAGATGAATTTTAGTTTAGTGCACTTTTGTTTTGAGGTGGCAGTTTCATTATGTAGTTCAGGCTGGCCTTGAACTCAAGCAATCCTCCTGCCTCAGCTTCCTGGAGTGCTGAGAATGATAGGACTGAGCTGCCACACCAGGTGGTAGCTGTGCTATCCGAAGAGAGAGATGCTGTGTATTGCACCTAAGCCTGGAATGGGAAAGGGTTAGAGCAGGCCGTTTCCTGCGTGGTCACCATCCCTGGACCAGCACCTGGGTAAATGTCACCCCCACCGTGTCAGAGGATGTAGCTGGAAGCAAGGGCCTTTCAACTGCAAAACTGCAAGGAATTAAACAACTGTCCTCTGTTTGTGAGGAGCCATTGTCACCACGTTCCTGGGTGTTCTTGAGGGGTTCTCTGATGTGAGAGTGCCTGTATCTGTGTTTTTTTCTTCCACCCCAGACCCACAGCAAGCAAGGTGGTTTCATTCTACAAGTCCTCCTCATGTGAGGTTGGAGGCTTTTCTAAGGGGGGAAACCAGGTCTCCAAAAGACACTGAGATCTCACCCCTGGGACCCCACACAGGGTGGGAGAGGGACACAGGTGGCAGGAGAGGGGACACCCTGATGGTAGTCCTGCTGCCGCCTGGCCTGGCTCGGGGAGCAACTGAGACAGCACAATGGGTGAAAAACATTGTGTACTTAGAAAGGTACCCAGTCAGGGAGGACCTGCCAAGCGCCACACCCAGCTTCCCAGCTCGCTGCGGCGGCGCTCCACTCTCATTTCCCAGCACCTCCCAGATCATAGCAGAGAACAAGAAATAGACAACGGAAGAGACTCGTCCACGGGGAAACAGCTCCGAGGGGGTCCGTCAGCCCCTCCATCCGCTCTCATCAAGGCTAATGCTTTCTCTGCCCCCCTGAGGACCGCCAGGTCAGGCGCAGGTGCCGGTGATCAGACTTTGCTTCCTGTCTGCTGTCTCCACACTGGGTCCCCCAGGAAGCTGCAGCCCCCGCCCACAGCAGCTGTATGAATTATTTAGCATCTGCGCCAGCCTGGCAGCTTCTGACCTCATCCTCCTTGGGCTCCGGGTGTGGCTCTGACCTCATCCTCCTGAGAAAGGATTGCTGCTAATGGGCAGAAGTGGTGGTGGTGCAGAAGGTGGAGAAGGTGGGGACCAGAGACCCAGTTGTGCTTGTAGCAGGAGGCAGCAGAGTAGAGAGAACATGACACAGGATTCAGGCAGCGGTGCGCTCGGATGCTGGCTCTTACTAGCTCTATGACCTTGGGCAGTGCCCTTAACCCTGTTTCCTCATCTTGAAAATGGAAGAGCCAACAGCTTGAGTACATTCTTCGTGTTCTGGCCAAAGGTAACCCCATGAAGGTCCGGGCCAAGGCAGTGCATTCAGGCCATCTGGTCCAGTGTGTCCTTCCCTGGCCAGCTGGCCTGAGGGCCAGACCTCACGGTTAACTGGCCCTGGCAGTGCCACATCACCCCTCTCCTCTGAAGTGGGTGGGGCGGCAAGTTTCGGTACTGGAAGAGAATGTTAGGAGAGGGGCAGACCGTGGCAGCGTCCTGACAGCAAGAGAAAGAACTGATTCTAAATGTGGTTGGAGCATGGCCCAGGCACACAGCAAGGCCGGGAAGCCAGGCTGAAGGAAGAGCTGGGGCCTTCAAGTGTCCCTTGAGCACCTCACCTTGAGACACAAGGGCAGGTGACCTCTGGCCCTGCCCTTCTGCCAGGTCAGACCAAGGGATCTAGGCGCAAGCAGCGCTGGTGGTTGGGCATTTTGAGACTGTACCTCCCTGCCCAGCTGGGCAATCTCAGCCCCTGTGTGCCTGTGCCTAGCTCCGCCCAAGCTGGATTAAGGGTCTCCAGAAGCTGGGAGGAAACCCCGGCCTCAGGGCAGGGCTACAGATATTCTCCAGCCTCCTCAGGGGAGGAGGGGATGTGCGGGGCTGAATCCTGGGGGTGAGGGTAGATGGCCGGATGGCTGCGGGCCCAGCTCCCCAGCTGGAGAAGGCGAGCCTCCTGTTTGGCTGCAAGGATATGGTAGCTCCCCACACCGTCTGACAGCATCAGTAGCCCCTGGGAAGGTTTCATGGGGTGGCCAGACAGCTGGGTGTGGGGTGAGCAGAGAGCATCGGGCTCCAGAATCCCCCACCCCCTCGTGCTCACCCTGTGCTCTGGCTCCTGAGCCCCCCAAGGCTTTTGGCTGGGAGGAGAGAGTGGCTTCAAGCATCAGGCCCCAGCCCCGCCCACAGCCCTGCCACCGGATCCCTAGGTCAGCTGTCCCTGCCCTGCCCAGGCTGGTGGTGGCAAAGTGCTCCCACCCTCAGGACTTCTGTCTCCAGGCCTCCAGGGGCCGCCATTGCTCCTGACCTTGCTCTGCCCTGGTGGTGCCACCTGATCTGAACTTGGATCACCGACCTTTGGGGGGTTATTGACGGGCTGGGGCTATGCACTGTAGGATGCTAGTGGCATCCCTAGCTTCTGAGCAGCACTATCACCCTGGGGTGTAAGAGCCACAGGTATCTCTAGAAGTGGCAAATATCCCCTGGTGGCAAACTCACTTGGGCTCCATTCCAGTCCCCTACAGGGTTATGGTGGGCACATGAGCCACTCACACAGAACAGTCTGGAGTCTGACACCTAGGAGTCCCTCTTCTTTCTGCAGGTTGACAGCCACCTTGCGCCACCTGGGGACTGTGATCTCGGCCATAACAGCTGGCAGTATAGGACCTGCTTGCTTCTCTGTGCAATCATCTCAGCATCTGTCTGGGGTGGGTGCCGAGAAAGGATGCTGGAATCACAGGCTGTTTCCTGTCCCTATGTCAAGCATGTGGGGCACCAGAAAGACTCCCCGTGGGCCCCTCACGCAGCAAGGGCCCAGCTGCAGGTCACATCTACAGGGACAGACAAGACGTTTCAGGACGCAGTCTATGTCCTTTTTCCATCAGGGAGTCAAAGATAGGGCCACATTTTACACACACACACACACAAGTTGGAGTAGTGTACAGCTGGAGGGGAACCCCTTCAGTGTCCATACCAGGTCCTTCTGGGGTGCTCAGCAGAGCCAGCTGGAGCAGAGGTAGGGTGGGGCGGGTGCTACTGGTACGACTCCCACATGTAAATTAGAAATTTGAGAAAAATGCAGCCCCACACTACAAGGCAAGATTTTAATATTTTCCCCCTGCCCTGGTAGATTAACATTTGCCTGTATTTACGTAAGGGAGCTCTGCCAAGAAACAAGAAATGCACCACAGGTGAAAGGGCACAGGTTAAAGGGCACAGGGGTGTCAGGTAGGTGAGGGACAAGAGGACCTATTCCTCTCCTCCTGTGCCCTCTCTTTCTCTTTCCCTCTTTCCTTTCATGCCTGTATGCGTGTATTTTAACCCAGTATTGGGAATCGAATCCAGGGCCTTTCCACTGGACCACATTCCCAGCTCTTC